CAAGCGACAAAAATGAGTGAAGATCCAATATCCAGCGCACGTCATGATAGTACAGCTGGTGATGTGGAAGTGCACACGCCGGTTCAGTTTGGACTTGTTAATTTTTCAGTGGCTGCTGGTCAAGCTCCTATGAAACAGTGGCATGAGAGATTGGGTCACACATGCGATCAATACTTGAAGATTATGGCAGACCAGGGGCACGTAGATGGTATGGTGATAACAGCACGTCACACGACGACCTTAGACGCGTGCCACATCGGTAAACATTGACGTAAACGACAAAACAAGAAAAAGGATCGCAAAATTATAGTAGTAAATCAAGTCGTCTATTCAGACTTGATGTTTCCAGCGAAGAACAACGGCACTCATTTTACTGCGATACTTGTGATAATGGATGGATTCTCAGGTTACTTGACGGTCCGTCTTTTGAAGGGTAAAGACGCGTCGACCATTAACCCACTCATGAAAGCTTACGTCCGTTGGGCGGAACGACAGGCAGGTCGTTCAGTCGAGAAGATCGTGGAAAGAAAATGGAAGCTAATGGCAGAAGTGCCAAATCTCCAGGTACATGCAATCAATCCTTACTGATAAGGGTGGAGAGTTCGTCAATGGTGAAATTGATTCGTGGTACCAATAACAGGGGATTGAGCACATTAAAGTCGGCCCGAAGAGCTCACACATGAATCCTGTCGAGCGTCAACACCAGTCATTCTAAAGACACTGCTTCTACCACAATAGGCATAAATCCATGATTTACTCCACAAATTTCGCTGCATTGACCATAAAAAACACCTTCTCATTCATTGGGAAACATGGCGAAGACGATGCTTTGTCATGCAGCAATACCAAAGATGTTCTGGCCAGACGCAATAGAGTATGCCGTATACTTGAAGAACAGGATCTACAACAGGATTGTCGGATGCACACCATTCGAGAAAATGTTTGGAAGAAAGGCCGACATTCACCACGTGCGTACATTTGGATCGCTAGCATATGTGCATGTGCCGAAGGACCCTGACCGACTAAGACATTTCGACAATGCCAAAATTGGATTTCTACTCGGTCTGAAAGAGGATTATGCTGGATATAAAGTTTTTAAGCCAGCAGAAAACACACGCTAGAGGGCACCTGATGTGGATATTGATGAGTCCATACTTTATGGTGACCGCAACAATTTCCACGACTATCGCTTTGACGAATTTGACTTCCCGGACATCCCAGCAGAAGACTCGGAAGTCACGACTGAACATGTAAATCATCCCTTGCGCGAAGATGATTTCTCCACGGGTATTGAGGCGACAGTCATGGGCGATACGCTAAACGACATAATCAGCATTGGAGAAGGAAAGCAATACGAAGATTACGAGGATCAATTCACCGCCGAACAGGGATTTTATGACACTGCAGACGAAGACGACGTGGATCGCGCCTCGATCACCGGAAATGACACTGAAACGTGTTTGTCTTTTGACACCGACGACGAAGCACATGAGGAACACAATGTGGACACGCCAGACGGAATAAGTCTTTCAGCTGCAGGTGATCTGTTACGTAATGAATCAAGTGTCCCAGGGGCAATGAACGATGCGTCGACACTTCGAGTAATGGAGCAGCGACAGGAAGTAAAAAACCGTATCGGCTACTCGAAAGCGTCACGGTCGGGAAAAAACACCGTCAGCAGAAGCTGAAGGCGCCCCAGAGAAGCGATCAAAGCGCACAGGCCTCAGGGACCGTTCTCTGCAGCAAAAGCCATAGCGTTTTAATGACTACATAGCATATGCTACGTGTGCACGCGTACTTGACAGCACAGGAAAACCAATGAAAGCTACGGATGTCAAGGTACCGAAGAATGGAAGAGAAGCACGGCGCTCAAAGCATGGTGATCGATGGTATGCCATTCAGCTAGACGAAATGAAAGTTTTACAAGCTAAAAAAGTACCGGAAGAGATCCCACTTGATGATAAGCCGTCAGACGCGAAAGCGATTCGAACCATGCGGGCTTGGTGCTTGAAGACGGACCAATATGGGTATGTCACGAGGTTGAAGGCCCGATTGGTTGCGCTCGGAAACTGGCAGCGACCAGGAATTGAATTTATGGAGACATTCGCACCGGTTGCACGGATGTCAAGTTTTCGACTAGTGCTAGCGCTGTCTGCTACACTTGATTTGAATATTTTTGGTGCGGATGTCACTACCGCCTACTTGAATGCCAAGTTGTAGATCTTGCAGTATGTACAAGACATTGAAGGTTTTCCCTGTCAGCAAAATGGCAACATCTATGTGGTACGGAAGGCAATGTACGGCCTACGTCAGGCCGGTCGTATATGGAACTCGGGTCTCGATCACTGGATGATCAAAAACGGCTACGAACGCTATTCATCGGAGCCGTGTCTTTACTACAGAACAAGAAAGGATGGGGAAATAACATTGGTCATCGTGTATGTCGACGACATACTTTGTGCCACGAATATAGAACCAGCGAAAACGGAACTGTTCACGAAGCTAAATGTGAGCTATGGTATAAAGGATCAAGGAGTATTGTCCGAATATCTGTGCGTTCAAGCTGAGGCTGATGACAGCAAGATTAAGATCTCGCAAGGCATATATGCTGATAAGATTTTAAAAAGTTTAGATTTACACCGTCGATGCATCCACGGTGTCGCTCACAAACGCCAAAGCAGCCACGCTCAGTGCACCGATCATGATACTGAGCTTCATCTTGCTTGCGAAGGTGTTGTGCTTTGTGCTTTGTGCTGTTGTCGTACGTCCGAAGTTGGAGAATGAACTCACTTGCTGGGTCCGAGAGCTACAAGCGCACCCGATCTCGCTTCGTCGTCAAACTCTCTCTCGTGACGATTACGTCGTAAGAACCGTTAGAAGCTCAGTTCTGATTGCTCATCCAACCAAGTAGAGGCGAACGGTGTGTTTCAGACGAAAGAAAATGTCATCGGATCGATTGACTGCAACAGTAGTCGCAAATGCACAGCGCGAAAGGTGGTCATCCCATGTGTTTGGTGGGCATCGGCTGTCGGCTCGGATAGTTGCAACCGACGACAGATTACTACGAAAAAGTGGGATGCATATGGTGCGTCAAGCATTCTTATGCTGTTTTTGTGTCGATCTGACTGGTCGAGCTGTACCAGACACCGCGTCTTGTCGGATGTGCAGCAGCAGATACGTACTTCTCAGAAACGAATGTCCGTCATGCCTTGTTTTCCACGCGGTACTGCAGCTGTAGACGTCCTAGATAGACATTGCATGTGGAACTGACAGCTAAGCCGTCTTCCCGGAGCCACATGCGACTTCTACACGGGTGGTCAGCATGACGCCAAATAGCAGATGCACGGCGCCAGCCGAAGTACAGTCTTCTCTATGCGACTTGAATAACGGTCACAATGCTGGTCGACAGATGATCGCGTGAGCCTATGCTCGGGTATTCCCTCAAGAATTTGGCAAGGCAGGCTTGTTTTAACGGATCACGACACCAGCGAGACGACCGTTCTATCATCTAGCTGTAAAAATAAAGTAGTCATTAGGTCTGCCAGCCACGTTTGCTTTCTGTGTAGTAAGCTCATCACGACCTTCGTCTTTTTCGTTTCAATGGTATGGGAGCTCTTCTCGCTGCCGTATAGTTTTTGCGAGTGAGTACTGACAGGAGACAATTGAATATTAAAAACATTGCAAAATTTACCTCGTTTTGATTTCAAGAACATGCCATGTTTTATCTTGCCAAATTCTTTCAGAGATATTGGGATGCACTCAGTGGGGGCGGCAAGGGCGAAGGGGCCACCATGAGATGGTTAGCTCCTCGGAGAGATATATGGGGGTTGGCGTTTCCAGCCAGAGTCACTTCGGTGTTCGCACTAGTCGGGGGCCGCGCAAGGTCCTAAAGGGGTTTGTTGCCTTATATGGCACATACCCGGTTTAGTGCTGCGCTCGGGTACATTCCAGTCTACTTGTGCGCAGGTCATGATTGACTCGTAGTTAGCTTCGGTAGGAGGGCTCTGACCTCGTTGCCGTCGCCCCTGGCTCTACAGCCTTTAGTTGTCGACCCGATACCGGGCTACTTCTTGTCACACTTATCAGTCGTTAGTTATCATAATAATGGACGTACTTGACACCACCACCATCTTGCCAAATTCTTGAGGGAATACCCGAGCATAGGCTCACGCGATCATCTGTCGACCAGCATTGTGACCGTTATTCAAGTCGCATAGAGAAGACTGTACTTCGGCTGGCGCCGTGCATCTGCTATTTGGCGTCATGCTGACCACCCGTGTAGAAGTCGCATGTGGCTCCGGGAAGACGGCTTAGCTGTCAGTTCCACATGCAATGTCTATCTAGGACGTCTACAGCTGCAGTACCGCGTGGAAAACAAGGCATGACGGACATTCGTTTCTGAGAAGTACGTATCTGCTGCTGCACATCCGACAAGACGCGGTGTCTGGTACAGCTCGACCAGTCAGATCGACACAAAAACAGCATAAGAATGCTTGACGCACCATATGCATCCCACTTTTTCGTAGTAATCTGTCGTCGGTTGCAACTATCCGAGCCGACAGCCGATGCCCACCAAACACATGGGATGACCACCTTTTGCGCTGTGCATTTGCGACTACTGTTGCAGTCAATCGATCCGATGACATTTTCTTTCGTCTGAAACACACCGTTCGCCTCTACTTGGTTGGATGAGCAATCAGAACTGAGCTTCTAACGGTTCTTACGACGTAATCGTCACGAGAGAGAGTTTGACGACGAAGCGAGATCGGGTGCGCTTGTAGCTCTCGGACCCAGCAAGTGAGTTCATTCTCCAACTTCGGACGTACGACAACAGCACAAAGCACAAAGCACAAAGCACAACACCTTCGCAAGCAAGATGAAGCTCAGTATCATGATCGGTGCGCTGAGCGTGGCTGCCTTGGCGTTTGTGAGCAATACCGTGGATGCGTCGACGGCAGCCGTGCAGACGTCCCATCACGTGCGCAGTGTCTACACAGACAATGATGACGATGACCGTAACAGCCGTGACGGCAACAGGGGCGCTTATGACAAGCGTCCTCTTGGCTACGGAGATGAACGACAAGGATAGCCGCGACGACAAGGGAGACGTCTACAGCCAGAAGGCTGGTGGCGGAACGAAGCGTCGCTCCGGGGATGATGACGACATGGATAGCCGCGAGAACGACGATGTCTATGGCATGCAGCCAAGCGTCTACCGCAATTAGCATGTCGAGCGACACGAGGCGGAGGAAATTGGCGGCTATATTGGTGTCGGCGTCGGGACTACCTTCGCACACGTCCATATACACCCGTACCTTCCGCTTCTCGGCAACGTAAGTGCTTTGTGCGGCAGAGGCGGCGAGAGTGTCAACGTGTTGTTCGATGTTTGCCACAAGTAATCCTCGGGACCGCTTGACTCAATCAACGAGCACCTTGCCACCGCATCGCTGAGTGCTGCTGCGCGTCTGACAAGCACAGCACACTTGCCATTTGAACGTTGTTGTAGACGTACACATATACTTTCCGTGCAATGCAGATGGTAGTTGGTGAATTTGAGCCCCAGATAATTGTTTGCAAACGGTCTTGCCTGTCTTTTTGTCCGTGTAGTCGATACGGTATGGCACCTCATTTGTAGCTCGTTCCAGCACTTCAAAGCGTGAGGTATATGTGAAACGTATAAAGTAGAAGCGTCACGCTTGCCAACGCATTCCAACACACAGAACAAACAGCCATAACGCTGGTGTCGCCGTGCATAAAGTACATACTGCGCCAAGTTTCGTTGCACGCGATGACATAGTATGCGACGACTGTGTCCGCCACTCTCGCTGCCCAAGCAACAACGCCAGCGGCGCTGACCTTGAGCTCGTCCGACGCATCCAGTGATGTTTTGAGAACGCGCTTCCGCCCTTGACGTAGTTTTTGGAACTGAACGTTCATTATCTTTATACGAAACTACTACCTTCCTACTACATGTATACGGCGTCGTCTCCCAGAGTACTAACTGCAGCAACCTCCCTCTGGGACTTCACAGTCGGTTTACAACAACACCTCCTTCCATACTGGGACTTCACTATGCTGATATCATCCATCGAATCCTTCTGTGATACGCGAAGGGCATTCACCTTTCAACTTAACCGTCTGGAAAGTCTTGTTATCACACTTGTATACTTTCCACAGCACGCCCTCCTCGAGGCTAGCCTCGCACACCGATCGAGTTGGATGGACGCACAAGTCGTCTTTGTCGAGTGCCTTCGTAAAAGCATCTGCTGGGTTCGATTCACTGGGCATCTTTTCAAACAATACCGTTTTCAGCTTGACTTGCTCTCGCACGAGATGCCACCGCAATTCGATGTGTCTTGTGCGCTTTGAGTACGTTGGGTTCACGGCCAACACGTAAGCACGTTAACTATCGATGCCAATCCTGACCTCCATGTTTACTGTCGGTAATACTTCACTGATCACACTTCGCTCGCTGACTGCCTCCATTAATGCTTCACAGACGGCAACATATTCGGCTTCAGCTGTGGAGTTCTGGCACACGTACTTCGAGATGATGAAGGTGACGTTCCAGGATATGGATGATGATGACGAGATTTGGGATGTGGCATGCCAGCGCATCAAGGCAAAATATCTTGTGACCGATGAAGGAAAGCAGAAGTTGGCCAAGATGGAGCGCAAGATTCGAAAAACGATTTTAATGTCAATTTCAGCGGAACTGGCAGAGCTCTACAGGACAAAACCAACGGGAAGCAAGATGTTGGCTGCTTTGACGAGACGATATGCCACCCGATCGACGACTGTGGCTGTGTTTCACAAAGTGCAGCGATTAGAGGAGGAAGTACGACAATGCAGATACAACGTCACTGAAGATATTGAAGTGCATCTGCGAAGGATGAGAAACAAGCAGCTTGAATTGGCCGACTTGGGTCATACGGTATCATTTACAACGAAGATGATGTACGTGCTTCAAAGCTTACCGGCCAAGATTGATGAATTCGCACTAATATAAACGCAAAACTGGTGTGGAAACTCACCAGCTTTTGACATTGACGAGTAGGAAGAGCAAATACGAACGGCGAGTTCGCACTACCAAATTAGACGTTCATCTTTCATATGTGATGAAAGAGATGCATGTGGTCACGAGACGAAGGCCGATTTCGACAAGAAGCATAACAGGTAAATGTACAGCAAAGTAAAGAGTAATGGCGAAGGTGCACATCGGACAGAGACTCGAACATGTCATGGTTGTGGCAAGCCTGGTCATCTTAAGCGAGACTGTCCAAATGCAGTTGAGTCGGAAGACCAAAAAGGAAAAAAATCGCGTGCCATGATTACGGTTCAAGCCTCACCTACGACACCACTTGCCGTTACCGTAAATGCTGAAGAACCCAGAGCTCATTCGATCGAGGTTAACGTTAATTCGTTGGAGGATCATCCGGTAAGTGAAACTCCGTTCGATACTGTTGGCGAGTATATTCAGGACCAGGAACTACAAACGCCATTACCGATAGACTATCACTGGCGCTTCGATACTGGAGCAAATGTTTACGTCACAAGTCTTCGCGAAGCATTTGTGACATATGACCCCGCTCCACCCGATTCGAGAGCAAGTTTGTCTGGCATAGCGGCGGGGCTTCAATCTACGGTTGCTGGAGTTGGAACTGTTTTAATAGGCACTAAGGTGGGCGAGCAAGAGCACTGTTTGATGTTGGACGATGTGCTTCACGTTCCAGATGCAAAATATGGTCTGTTTTCACCTGGCAAGGCGATCGAGCACGGCCTGGACATAAACTTGTCGACGAACATGGAGTTCGTGTTATCTCGTCGAGGGACTGCGCTTGTCAAAGCAGTCTTCTCTGATGGAATGTGGGGGTTTTCATCATCAAACATGCAAGCGACAAAAATGAGTGAAGATCCAATATCCAGCGCACGTCATGATAGTACAGCTGGTGATGTGGAAGTGCACACGCCGGTTCAGTTTGGACTTGTTAATTTTTCAGTGGCTGCTGGTCAAGCTCCTATGAAACAGTGGCATGAGAGATTGGGTCACACATGCGATCAATACTTGAAGATTATGGCAGACCAGGGGCACGTAGATGGTATGGTGATAACAGCACGTCACACGACGACCTTAGACGCGTGCCACATCGGTAAACATTGACGTAAACGACAAAACAAGAAAAAGGATCGCAAAATTATAGTAGTAAATCAAGTCGTCTATTCAGACTTGATGTTTCCAGCGAAGAACAACGGCACTCATTTTACTGCGATACTTGTGATAATGGATGGATTCTCAGGTTACTTGACGGTCCGTCTTTTGAAGGGTAAAGACGCGTCGACCATTAACCCACTCATGAAAGCTTACGTCCGTTGGGCGGAACGACAGGCAGGTCGTTCAGTCGAGAAGATCGTGGAAAGAAAATGGAAGCTAATGGCAGAAGTGCCAAATCTCCAGGTACATGCAATCAATCCTTACTGATAAGGGTGGAGAGTTCGTCAATGGTGAAATTGATTCGTGGTACCAATAACAGGGGATTGAGCACATTAAAGTCGGCCCGAAGAGCTCACACATGAATCCTGTCGAGCGTCAACACCAGTCATTCTAAAGACACTGCTTCTACCACAATAGGCATAAATCCATGATTTACTCCACAAATTTCGCTGCATTGACCATAAAAAACACCTTCTCATTCATTGGGAAACATGGCGAAGACGATGCTTTGTCATGCAGCAATACCAAAGATGTTCTGGCCAGACGCAATAGAGTATGCCGTATACTTGAAGAACAGGATCTACAACAGGATTGTCGGATGCACACCATTCGAGAAAATGTTTGGAAGAAAGGCCGACATTCACCACGTGCGTACATTTGGATCGCTAGCATATGTGCATGTGCCGAAGGACCCTGACCGACTAAGACATTTCGACAATGCCAAAATTGGATTTCTACTCGGTCTGAAAGAGGATTATGCTGGATATAAAGTTTTTAAGCCAGCAGAAAACACACGCTAGGGGGCACCTGATGTGGATATTGATGAGTCCATACTTTATGGTGACCGCAACAATTTCCACGACTATCGCTTTGACGAATTTGACTTCCCGGACATCCCAGCAGAAGACTCGGAAGTCACGACTGAACATGTAAATCATCCCTTGCGCGAAGATGATTTCTCCACGGGTATTGAGGCGACAGTCATGGGCGATACGCTAAACGACATAATCAGCATTGGAGAAGGAAAGCAATACGAAGATTACGAGGATCAATTCACCGCCGAACAGGGATTTTATGACACTGCAGACGAAGACGACGTGGATCGCGCCTCGATCACCGGAAATGACACTGAAACGTGTTTGTCTATTGACACCGACGACGAAGCACATGAGGAACACAATGTGGACACGCCAGACGGAATAAGTCTTTCAGCTGCAGGTGATCTGTTACGTAATGAATCAAGTGTCCCAGGGGCAATGAACGATGCGTCGACACTTCGAGTAATGGAGCAGCGACAGGAAGTAAAAAACCGTATCGGCTACTCGAAAGCGTCACGGTCGGGAAAAAACACCGTCAGCAGAAGCTGAAGGCGCCCCAGAGAAGCGATCAAAGCGCACAGGCCTCAGGGACCGTTCTCTGCAGCAAAAGCCATAGCGTTTTAATGACTACATAGCATATGCTACGTGTGCACGCGTACTTGACAGCACAGGAAAACCAATGAAAGCTACGGATGTCAAGGTACCGAAGAATGGAAGAGAAGCACGGCGCTCAAAGCATGGTGATCGATGGTATGCCATTCAGCTAGACGAAATGAAAGTTTTACAAGCTAAAAAAGTACCGGAAGAGATCCCACTTGATGATAAGCCGTCAGACGCGAAAGCGATTCGAACCATGCGGGCTTGGTGCTTGAAGACGGACCAATATGGGTATGTCACGAGGTTGAAGGCCCGATTGGTTGCGCTCGGAAACTGGCAGCGACCAGGAATTGAATTTATGGAGACATTCGCACCGGTTGCACGGATGTCAAGTTTTCGACTAGTGCTAGCGCTGTCTGCTACACTTGATTTGAATATTTTTGGTGCGGATGTCACTACCGCCTACTTGAATGCCAAGTTGTAGATCTTGCAGTATGTACAAGACATTGAAGGTTTTCCCTGTCAGCAAAATGGCAACATCTATGTGGTACGGAAGGCAATGTACGGCCTACATCAGGCCGGTCGGTAAAAACAATGA